TAAAGCAACCTGTACTAGTTGCTTTATAGGCAACCCAGATGGTGGGAAGCATTTTGTAGCAGGAGAAGAAAACTTTCTTCTTAACAGTCTCTCTGAATTTAAGAGTTTTGAGTAGATACAGAGAGGGGGGGAAAGCCTCTTTGTTTGGTTTTGACAGCTGTTATTTCTCTGTCAAGATGCAAACTGCATTGGAGCAAAAACATTTGATAAAACTCAGTGTATGATTTTGGTCTCTGCACTCCTCTGCCTCCTCCACTGCTGCCTCCTCAGCTTAGATAAGATAAAAGCACTCACTGAGCACTGAGGCACTCAGAGTCTGGAAGCAAAGCAAAGTTTATGAGATCAGTGGAAGAGCAGGAGAGGAAAGATACAGAAATGAATGTCTTGTGATACTCAAGAAGGTTTGTATTATGAGATTTTGGCTGTTTCTAAAACTGACACCACCTCCTCCTCACTGTGAAACTTTGGTGTCTGCATGCAGAATGTGCATTAATGATTAGTAATTGATGATTAAAAGATGATGTCAGAGTCCCTCATTATAGCAGCACTATGTGTCCTGTTGCCACTTTCCAGGTTGGTGGGTTGGATGATACCCAGTGACTCCCTTTTAGTCCCACCTGTAGCAAAACCCTCTTAGCTCCTCCAGAACCAAGTTCTCCTGGAGGGAATCCAGTGCAGTGCATCTTCTTGCTCAGCTCTGGGTTGGCCAGAGCTGTGTGTTTTCCATTTCTGAAGTTTTTGTGCTGCCTGCCTGTAGAACTTGTGTTTGACCCTTCAAACACGTTTCCGGCCCACTGGAGACACACTCTGATTTGAGGCAGTGCTTATTCACCAAGAAAATCCTGGTAGCAAACACAGGAAGAGCTCTGCTTGGGAAAAGGCTTTTAGATCACTGGTAGTCCCTTGGGAATCTCTGACTTTTTGCACTAACAGTGGTGCCAATACTGTGATTTTTATTAAGAAAAACCTAATGGCTGTTCCCTTTTCCCCTCAACTGCCTGAGTATCTGACTCACAATGAAATGCCATATCATTACATGGAAACAAGGGGAAAAATAGCTGTGTTTGGAGAAGTTGGTTTTTTAGAGTATCCTGGCAGACTTTTAAGAGAGGCACAAGATATTTGTGTAAGTTTTGTTCACCTTGAAATACCTTTTGTTCAGTTATCATGATACAAATGTCTGGGTAACAAGGCAGCACAGAGTTTTACACTGCACAAGGTCATACAACATAATTACAACTGATAGTTATTGTTAAACAGTTAAAAGTTGTTAAACTGACCAGTAAAACAAGAGCTGTTTCACTCTGCTGTCCAGGGCTGCTTAGGTCATTATCCTTTTGTCTTGTATTGCTTCTTGACAATCCTTTGATATTTTGAAGTGTGTTGTTGTTTTTCCAAGCACTTTTTGATGGAAGGATTATTTCTGTGATACCTTTTTACTCTGCTCTAAGGTTCAATCCGTTTATTACATGAATCAATGCTAAAATACCTAAGGAATATTCTATAATACACATGATCTATGTAAATAAATTTTGTGGCAGGTACCCATAACAGGCCAAGAGCTAGAATAAACCAGAGTAAGGAACTCCCTCATACTGCAGGGTTTGCTGTTAGACCCTTCTTCTCAGCTAATTTCTCCTTCCAAACTCCCTGTCAGGAGGTGATGGATGCAGGAAAAGTGCATCCCCAGCAACCTGATTGCTGCAACTTAACTCCTCAATTTTGATACAGTGTTTGAAATTACCATGAATTTGCCTCAGGGTGAAACACATTAAACCAATCTGTGGTGTTGCTGCATGACATGGGAACCCCCTAATGTGATTTTTGGCACTGTATAAAACGAAGCAGCAAATGGAAAGGGGCAAAGCTTTTCCTTTGTGGACTCAAGGACGGGAGGGTTGGCTTAGCAGTGCAACATAATGACAAGGGATGTTGAGAAAACAGGTTTTCCCGTTCCCAAACTTGAAGAATACTTCAAAAACTGCCTGAGAAAGGAGTTGCTGACATAGATGGATGGTAAATCTAAATCCTGAGCTCCTTGTTTTTATGGCTCATAGCTTACAGGTGTCTTGAAACTGCAGAAAGGAATAAAAGAGCACCCCAAGTAAACATCCTTCAGTGCATGGGAAGATGACAGATTCTTTCTAATAAGATTTTCTGCTCTCCTGGAGGAAGACCATTTGTTAATAAAGCATTGGAGAATCCATTTTTAAGGGATTTAATAAAATATACACAGGCTGCCTTCCACTGCAGGAACTATTATTCCCCTGGGGAGAAAAAGTGACTGACTGGGGGCATTAATGGTTCTTCCTGTGATTCCTGGCATTGGATCTTGCTCCCATTTGCACTTTTTCAACCCAAAGTGAAATAATTTTTTATGAGGAACCTGCACTTGATTTCTAGCTCTTATGAGGCATATGTGTGTTCTATATTTTATTTATTTGTATTCAGTCAGGTCCATAAATCTCCTTGTTTTAGTGTCTGTCTGTACCATGGTACTGTGGCTTTGTGAATACTTTCCTGCCTACGAGAAAGTTTCCCTATCTAGCAAACTCCATTAATGGAAGAGGTAATAGCTGTTGTGTGAATTAAATGAATTGCTCCGTTCTTGCCAAAGATTTCCATGAATAATTCATAGATTTCCATCAAAAATCAGAGATTTGCTATTGTGGTGGTTGCTGTTGATGAGACAAGAAAGCTGGACCTGTTGTGGCCCAGGAGATACTGCCTGGAGGGACTGGGTAACCCACAAAGAGAAAAGATGTGTCCTTAAGAATTTGGAGGTTTTCTTCTGTATCTTTGCAGCTGAGTGTTAGTTTCACTTCTTTTCAATCTGAGAGAAATACAGTGGGATTGAGGGATGGAGGAATTTTTCAAATCTTGCCCTTTCCCAGATCATCGGCAGATTTTGGTTCCCTTCTGCCAAGAACACTTCCCAAGGGTGTGTTTGTGAGAAACACCAGTGGATTTCAGCAGCTGGGGTGGTAGGAGAGGAGAAAGTCAGGGGTGAGTGACCCTCAGAAGTGAAATCCTGGATAGCTTTATGAGTGTAAATGTCAGATTGAGCTATACCCCAAGCTCTCCTGCCTGTGTGACCTTACTGGGCTCCCTTTGCCATGCATGGCATGAGTTCAGCATGGATTGCTGAGTGGATGCCCAGGCAGACACCAGTTTCAAAGAAGGAAGAATGAAATCTGGAAAGCTAATAATAGTGTTCCAGCCCCTGACAGCTTTAACAGATCCCAAATGGATGTACTTAGAGCTGTAATACATTTGATTCTTTTCTTTACCAGAATTATCTCCATGTCATATCCAAGAACTGGGGCCCAGTGGCAGACTGGGATGGCAAGATGGACAGTCATTGCTCAGTCATAGGATTACAGCCTTTTATATCAAAAGAGATTACAGGCAGGATGCTGCCAGGAAATGACAGAGCTGCTAGGGAGGGGACAAACAGGAGGACAGACGCATTTAGGAGAGACGATTTATTCTGCAGTTACATCTGTAGAAACTGTTCCTACTGCTCATCACTTGCTGTCTCTCTGTTGGCTTGCTAATGGTGTCACATCAGTAGTAAAGCAGGTGTAATTCCCTGTGCAGAGGCTGGAACAAAGCTAGTGAAAATGCAGGAATAGCATAGTGTCTGTCCTCTCACGTTCCTCCAAAGGAACCAATCCAAATATTAATGTCAGAGAATGAGTTCAGGTCTTTAGTGCTGAGGGCATGAAACATGCAAAAGGTCTTATAACCAGTTGCCTATAAACTTGCAAGTGTTTTCTCTGCAAAGCCAAATGTGACAGCAATTAGTTGCCATTAGTTCTGCTTCACAGTAGCACTTAGACTGTATCTTTGGACATGGGACAGATGAATTTTGTAAGAGTCTAACCATTCAAGGGCCCAAGATCTTGGCTGGAGCACAGGGGAAAGGCAAGTGGGCTGGAGTTAGGGGATGCTGTGTCTCTTTGAGGAATGAACTGGGGCAAGTGCAAGTTCCAGATGGAGCAGTTCATATAGCCTGAAGCAAAATGCAGAGAAAGTCTTCATGAGTGGAGTTGAGGGAAGTACAGACAAATTAAGAGCACAGCCCTTATTACAGAGTCTGTGAGGTTAAAGTCTCTCTTTGTATGAAGCTCAGGATCTGCACAATAGTCAGTGACACACTGATGATCTCTGAACAGTAAAAGGGCTGAAATAAAGTCTTCAGTTGTGTCCATTGAACCAGATCTACTTGGTTCAGTCTGAAGTGTGTTGCTTGCCTTGCATTTGACTCGAGGGCAGTGCTGTGCACCATGAGACAAAGGTGCCAGGTGAAAAAGTGACTTTTTGCTTCCTTTTGATAAAACTCAGTGCAGAATTAATGCACTACATGACTGCTAACTGCACAGTGACCCCCACCCATCTGACTTCAGGTGCTGTGCTGATTGTAAACTTTGCTCTTTGCATTATTTGCACTCAGTGTGGAACAGGCTGATTTGCCTGCAGGATCTGAACATGTGCTGGTTTGGAGTGAAGTGTGCTCAGTTCAGAACTTGGCAGGTATAACAAAGCTGACAGGCTCTTCAGAAGCAGAAGAGGCTGTTGATAAATTCTCCATCAGTATTTCCTCCCTTCACTCCTCTATGTACATTTTAAAACATTGTGGAAATTTAAGATATAATTGTGTCAAAGTGATGTAGAATTTGTTTCCAGTCTTACTTAGGCATCTCTGACTTGGTAAGAAACAGGTCATTTTCATTTGGATGACTTCCAAATGCTTTGAGGAATTCTGGAAGATGCTCTTTAGTGGGCACTCTCAGAATTTTGCTTTGAGAACTCAGTGTTTCTAGTTAGCAAAATTAGAGGTCACTGTGTTTGCCAAGTGCTGCACAGCTGAGAAACAGTTATGATAGGGCAACTTGTGTTCATACATACAAACAGTGGATAATATAGCTCCACTAAAGTCTTTGTGTGCTTTACTGTACCAGCTCAAGTGATTGATGTGGGTTTCTGTTTGTTTTCAGATGTTGGACAAACTCAAGGATCGCTGGATACACACTGGTTTGTGGAAGAAACTGGAGCTGGTTAAGACAGTCATTGCAGAGCCTCAGGGAGGGGCAAAGAGTGACTTCGATGAGCTGCTGAAAATATACTATGATGCAATAAAATGTAAAGGAGAAAAAGGTTTGTTCTTCAGGCATACAAAGTAGTTGATGCAGACTCTAAGTTTAAAACGATGTATTCTTAAAGTGCTGAATTAGAATTAAGATATGGATAAGCAAATTAACTTCAGCTAATAAGCTGTTGTGATAAATGAGGAGGAGTAGCTGCTGTTTGTATTGAGGATACAGGGATGTACAGGGTGGTGCATGATCCCAGCAGTGGCTCTGGAAAGGCAATGAGGTGTGTGATAAAGAATAACAGTATGCAAAAAAATGGAGTGCAAAAGAAGGTTTAACATCTAAAATTTTGTTGTAGATATATATGATATAACATCACAGTGGTATTAATCAAAGTGGAGTTAATCTTATCCCTCTACCAAGAAATGTCTATTTTTTTGTCTTCTCCCCTTTCCCAGACTGACACAGTGAGTTATACTACATTATGTTTAGCTCTTTAGAAGATTTTGGTGAAACTTTCTTTTGCTGCTCAGTTTCTCCTTGGGAATGATTTGTATATTCCTTTCTGGCTTGTTGAAGATGGAGCTCTGCTGATAGCTGTGTGCAGAGGCAAAGTGAGTGAAGGGCTGGATTTCTGTGATGAGAACGCTCGGGCAGTGGTCACCATAGGGATTCCATTTCCAAATGTGAAGGACCTTCAGGTAGGACATCAATTCAGAGTTGGACTTAAAGCACCAAATAAACACGACATGTTTTCTCTCTGTGTTTTCCCTTGAACTGTTCTCCATCCCATTTGAATTCTGGGAGTTATCTCTGCACGGGTAAGAGGAGGAGCAGCACAGTGTGCACTCATTTATGTCATTCTAAATAAACACTTATCATGCTAGGTGTCAATTTTTGTCTGACATGGCTAGTGAAGGCTGTTGCTTTGTTAAAATGCTCATTCATTTCAGACTCTGCCAAGCAGCTGTACATGTTTCCATCTTCTTTTGCTTGTTTTCATGCCTTGAAACTTGTGTGATTGGTGCAGAAATGAAGGTACTTCCTGTGGTGAGGTGTTTGGTTGGGAAGGGCTAGGATAAATGCTAGGAAAATCCTGCTTTAAATAAAGCAATCAGGTTGTTTCAGGTGGAAGGAAAAGGTAGTTATAGTGTAAAATGATAGCATCATGTGGCAGTAATGATCACACACTAGGCCATTATTGATTGCAGTGAATCACCTTTGATGTAACTATGTGTGTGACACTTCCCACTTAGAGTGTGGAACTGTAAACCTTTTCCAAGCTTGTGCTGCTTTATTAGCTTGCAGTTTTGAGGCATAAATTTATGCCATAGCATAACCTCTTCCTGGATACTGAAGATGTTACTATTTTGAAAATTCAAACTTCACGTAACTTTGGGCAAAAACTTGTAAGTGCCTTCTAAAAATAGTATTTTGATGTGCCTCCAGCCAAATAAATTTGTAACTATTTGTGGTTTTCAGGAGGTGGTGAAAGCAGCATCCTGTTGCTTGCACTGCTGTGTAATTGCCCACATCAACACTTCCTTTCCTTTGGCTTCAACAGATCTGACAGACAGATGATGTTCCATTAGAGTAGGCACTTCATAGCCTAAGCCAGGCAGTCAGAAAGGCAAAGAAAGCCAATGAATATGGAAAAGTGGTTTTCTAGACTTTCTCCTTGATGAAAAAGAACATTTAGTGTTGGCTAATTTGTGATACTATTTGTTTCTAGTGGCCTGTGCATCCACTTAGGGAGTCACCCAGTTGCTGGTCATAGCCACTGTCACTGCTCTCTGTCTTCTGTGTTCCTTTTAGAACTCTTGGGGACTATTTTGTGAAGCTCAGAAACAAAGTGAAGTATCCCAGAATAAATAAACACCAGGAGCAGCTGAATTCTGGTTCTGAGCGATGCCAAATCAAACAAGAAAATCATAGGTTTGCACTTGAAAGGCCAAACAGACTCAGCTTTGGGTTTAGAGATGTGTTTTGAGCTTAAGTGAATGACCAAAGACTTCTTTGTTGTCTGCAGTGTGTGCCTAATTCCAGCCTTGCTGGAAAAAACCCACATCCTATAACGACCAGGAAGGTTGTGTTAGTGGTGCCTAGTGCAAAGTTCTTCCAATGTTTGCATAATTCCTTGGAGCACTTATTCAGCCACAACATTTTTTGTCTTACTGAGGTATAATACACTGCACTGTAGTAGAAAAACATTTACATTCACAGAATATTCAGCACTCCTCCTGGAGCTGGCAATGTTTTGTTTTAGGAGCATATGCTGACATGAGATTTTGGAACCCCTTGGTGTGTAGTATGGCTGGAACTTCACAATTTATTCCAAATGATTTCCTGAAAGTCAGTAGTTTTGGTTTCTAATTGAGAAGAATGTGCCATGGATGAATTATCTTCACAGTGGATTATGTTCCTGAAGGTTAAAATACTGTGTTTGATTTTTACCTTGAGTTCAACCAAACATGTCATATCACAGAACCTCAGGCACTACAGCACATTCTGATAACTAAATTAAACCAATCACTGTTGTGGTCATCTGTTTTTCTTAATTAGGCTGAAGAAAGCCTCTAAATTTTTTAGCAGGGGTAGAAACAGTAGCTGCCAAATTGCAAGCAGTGAAAGGTTTGAGTGTGTGTATTTCGAGCTGGGAATGCACAAAGCACTGCAGTGATCAATTGTGGATGAGAGAAGGGCAGGCAGCAGTCTCTCAGCATCAGATCTGCAGGGCAGTGCTCCTGGCAGAATGCTGGAGGAAATGGGGTTTGTTCTAAGTGTGTCTTTAAACTGTGTTTTGTTTTGCCCAAGGCTTTAGGTTTGTCAGATCCCCCCAAAAAATTCCAGATTAATGCACGTTCCTTTCACCAGCTGAGTTGCATGAAGGATAGAGTGGAGGAGAGTCACTGAATAACATGAGTTGGAAGATTTCTAGAAACATAAGGAGAGATACTAAGGAAATTGGGAGGATTAAGCATCTTTTCCAGCAGTGTGTCAGCTCAGTGAAGGACTTGGGATTCCCAAATGAAACAGTTAAAATGTACAGAATAGTTACGTTTGCTTTTCTGATGTAGCTGGTTAGTGTTTCTGTGGATTTTGTAGGCAAACTGGCTAAGCCCTGGAGGAGCTTGAGTTTGCAGCAGACATGAAATGCACAACACAGTGACACAAGTCAGGTTAGACTGACAGAGACACAGAACTGTGAGCACAGGAACATCTGTGGCTCTTACAGAGCAGTAGGTGCTCAGTACAGGTACAGAGGAAGAAACTGATAAGATGATTAACAATGACATTCCTTTAAAAATAGGAAATGCAAGTGATTAACAATTCCCTTGGAATATCCATGAGTTATATACTTCTGGGATTGGTTTAAATCACTAAGAAGTGCTCAGCCTCTCCATGAAAATACACTGGAATGTCTGCCTTTTGGGTTAATAACAGTCCCCCTAAGCCTCAATTCCATAACCCCTTACTCCTGCACAGAGCTCTTACTTGTGTGAGTAATCCCTTTAAGGCTTCTAGGACTGTGCACAGCCACAGGGGTTTGGAGAATTGTACCTTTGGAGAGCAATATTTTATGTTGGCAGCTTGATGTTGGCTCATCTCCACTAATATGACTTGTCTGTGATCAACCTGCTTTCTAAATATGTTTTATGATTTGTAAGTGGATGGAGTAACAGTAAGCTGCAATATTAGAGCACATAAATAACGTGGCAGAAAGAGATGTGTAATCCCACAGACATGTTCTCTGATGCTGACATACTGTTAATTAACTCCTCTTAGGTATTTTGAAGTGTGGAGCGTTTTTGATCCAGACATCAGTCTTGAGCAAGAAACTCCTTGTCAAGTGTGATGTGTAACAGCCAATTTTAGTTTCTCCATAGGTTTGTGCTAAATAGATGCCACAACTTCTGGTACCAAATGGCAAGTAACTGTGCTTCTGTGATTTACAGTGTTTCCTGTACAGGCTTTAAAGAGCATAATTTCATTTCACTTAACCATTTCAGGCATGCTGTGTCTTAGGTTCACTCCCATTCACAAAGAGAAGAGTCTAAAGCTCTTTGTCAGTGTAAAGGAGCAAGAAATGATTCAGGCTCAGAAGTGCCTTTGATAAAAACCAAGACTGATTTAAGGAAGAGGCCAAACCCCTAATTCTGTGTTACTGAGAGCAGTTTCATATTGCTGAAGAGTCAGGTTGCTAAAGCAAAATAATATAAAAGAAATGTTCAAGTATTGCTTAAAGCTCTTGGTACTCTCAATGGTAGAGTTTGGCTCGAGGAAAGGAGGAAAATTTATTTCAGAGCCAAAAATTACTTCTTTGGCTGTGACCAGGATTTCCTCTGCCCACCTCTGGGACCTGAAACTAGAGGTAGGAAAATCTGATTTTGGAGCCAAGTGTGACTTGTTTAGTTCAAGTCATAATTTACTGTTCTTACCTTGGGGACCTGAAAATAAAGCCACTCGCTCTGCAATGTTGATAATGGGCAGCTCTGAAGTGCAGGCACTAAGCTCTCCTTCCCACAGAGCATTTCTGCACTTCCACCTTTCCAGATGCTTTTGATCCTGGGACAGGAGAGTGTATTAATCATGGAACAGCCAAGAGAACTTGACCGAAATACAGAGGAAAATGCAGTCAAACTCTTTTACATCAGTAGATGTGCAAGGAAAATAAACTTGATAAGACTGAGGGATCTGGGCAGTGACATTGGTGATTTTGCCAATGATGGGAGTTACTTCCCTTGGCTGCTACAGGGTGAAGATTTTCTTTGTTGTTTCCTGTAGCAGAATTTGTAACATGATGGAACACATCACTTCAATTACCTTTTCCAGGGTTCTGTGTAACTTAATGACACACAGAGTTTGCAGCTCTGGCTGAAGTTTCTTCTTCCTTTCTCGAGGGCTCATCAAACTGAGGTATTTCTATCCTTTCAGAAGAATGGCATTTTTCCAGAGATTTAAGTGAATTTCTAGTCCTTGTGGCAGTTTTTAAGCCTCTGTGCTTTTTCTCCATTGAAAGGAGAAAGAATCTTGCGCTACATAAATTGGTTTGCTGAAATAATTAATTTCTCTTTTTGTGTATTCTAGGAAAAGAAAGATTTCTAAGGAAATTATTGGTGTTTTAGATGCTTAACCAGAGCTGAGAAATATCCCCTGCACTGTATTCATTTCATTTTAGCTTTGCATATTTTCAGTTCTTAATAAAACAGTATGGGCAAACTGGTATAGAAAATGAGGAAAAAAAATCTTGTATGTTTTATGGGAAGGTCATTGCTGTGTTTGTCTTTAGTAGAAGCTGAAAATTCCCCATGAAATTAAGAATCATTTTAGAGATATAAGACTTTTTTACTTCCTTCTTCATTCCAGTACTGTGAAAAAAAATGCATGTGTAAAGTGGGGAACAGAAAAGCATTTCTGTCAAGCATAGTCACCGTTATGCTGAAGAAACTCAGCATCCTTTTAATCCTGAAGTAGTAAGTTTTGAGTATTTTTACCTCTTTTGTGGGGTATTATTTATTGGATTTCCAAGAGAATTTGTGTCAATTCAGAAAAAAAAATGATTTTAGAGGTTTTATTTGTGGAGTAGCTGCCAAATGCTGTGGAATACAGCTAAGGACAGTACCATGTGAGTGCAGTGTAAGATGTAGGACTAGTGGATGGCATTTCTCCTCTGCTGGTACGAGGCTAATGTCAATATGTT